TTCTTTATAGCGAGATGCCACGTTTATTTCTAGTTTTTGTTTGGTGTGACAGTCCAGTCTCAGCTGTTCCCAGCCTCCTTCCCGCTCCTCTCCCGTCTCACAAAAAAAAGGGAAGAAACCGTCATCAGACCAAAAACCACCAGCTGTGTTCTCACCTGCCTCTCCAGCACCACCCCGTTGAGCTCACTGCACCACTCCTCCCCTGCAGCTGAGCCAGGGACATACACCTACTTTCGTGGACAGGATGCAATAGCTGCCGTCTTCTCCACCTGTGGACGCACCTGCCTGCCCCCAAGTGGTGCCCCAGATACTGTAGCTGTGGTTGGAGAAGGGTGTTTTTTCCTTGGATTGGCAGACAAGGGAATCTGCCAGTAACCCTTGGTTAAATCCAGTGTCGTGAAAAAACGGGCTGTGCCCAACCGGTCCAGGAGCTCGTCGACCCGGGGCATGGGATAAGCATCAAAGCATGACCCTTCATTCACCTTGCGATAGTCAACACAGAACCGTAGAGACCCATCCTTCTTCACCACAAGAACTATGGGGCTACACCAGGCGCTGTGCGACTCTTCTATCACTCCCATTTTCAGCATTTCAGCCAATTCCCTCTGAACAATTTGCCGGTTATGCTCAGGAAGCCTGTAGGGCTGTGAACGCACCGTCACGCCAGGCTGTGTTTCAAAATGATGCTCAATGAGAGACCTTCGGCCGGGCAGGGGGGAGAACACGTCTGCAAAATGCTGCTGTAAGGCGTCAACATCCGCTCTCTGGGCCTGTGTGAGATGGTCATCACAAGGGAGGGAGGCGGGGATGATAGAATTTGGCACCTCCGGCCCCAACTCCTCTCTCTCCTTAACCAGGCTTACCAGAGAAGCGTTTTCAGCCTCTCTTCACGCTTTAAGGAGATTGAGGTGATAAATCTGCGGCGCTCTTCCCCTGTCTGACCTCATAGTCAATGTCCCCAATTCGCCGTGTGACCACAAAGTGTCCTTGCCACTTTGCAAGCAACTTTGAGCTGGAAGAAGGGAGTAATACAAGCACTGTCTCCTGGTGAAAATTGCCTGAGTCTAGCCCCTCTGTCATACAGGCGTTGCTGACGCTGCTGAGCCTGGAGCAAATTCTCCCGTGACAACCTCCCCAAAGTGTGGCGTTTTGCTCTCAGGTCCAGCACGTACTGAATCTCATTCTTGGCGAGGCCCGGACCGTCCTCCCAGCTTTCTTTAATCAGGTCAAGCACCCCACGCGGCTTCCTGCCGAACAGCAGTTCAAAGGGAGAAAATCCCGTGGAGGCCTGGGGCACCTCCAGCACTGCAAATAACAGAGGGTCTAGCCAGCGATCCCAATTCCGTTCATCCTCGTTAATGAACTTACGAATCATGGACTTTAAAGTCTTGTTCAACCGCTACACCAGCCTGTCCATATGAGGGTGGTAGACGCTGGTTAATGCCCAGTAATTCGTACAGTTCCCGCAGTGTGCGAGACATGAACGATGTGCCCTGATCTCTTTTGGGATTCCGACTCGGGACCTGAAACAGTGCCTGCGCCACACTCTTTGCAGAGATGTTGCGCAGCGCCACTGCTTCCGGGTATCGCGCTGCATAATCCACCAGGACTAACAGAAAGCGATAGCCGCGTGCACTCTGGTGAAACACCCCGATGAGGTCTGTGCCAATGCGCTCAAACGGGACCTCCATGAGTGAGCGCAAAGGCACTTTTGGTATGAACGGCTGATTAACAAGCTGGCAGGACGCGCACCAGCGGCTCACATCCGGATGTCCGGCCAATAAAATCAGGCCGTTATTCACTCCAGAGTTTTTTCATATCCTATATGCCCTGCCATGGGGTTATAATGAGCCGCCTGGAAAATCATTGCCCCTCCATGAACTGCTCCAGCACCAACTTCTCCACTAGCAGCGTCTCCCCCTCTGACGATCCCGGCTGCAGCCACCAC